ATAAATGAAATTTCATTTGCGAATCAATTTTCCCCCTAAGAATAAAAGTAAATAAATTAATCCCTTTTGACACCCGAAGTATAAAAAGAAAAAAATTTTTACATGAAATATACATGTAGTACATAAACAATACAATGGGAAATGAGAATGAAACATAACAGCTTAACATTACCCTTTATTGGGGAAATTTTACTTAGTTATGGGGGGGATGGAGGGGAGAGATGGGGTTGTTTACAGTTTTGAAGGGAAAACCCCTTCCCGAACACCCCAGGTACCAATTGCTTTTCTGGGGTTGCTTTCTTCTCTGTTTCTTAGTGCCACTGGACCACTTGGAGCACTTAGTCTGTCTGCAAAGTAACTGTGAAAAGAGCTCTGTTTTGGCATCTCTTTTAACACTTCCCCAAAATGGGGCCCAAGACTTTGTCACGTACATATTTCTCACCTTTTTTTACCACAGGCTTTGGGACAGGGGCTTTTTTTGGGCCATGGAGCTTATTTAGTGTTTTCAAACATAAAATGAGTGGAAAATTATGAAATTTTGTAGGACCTTAAGGGGACCTTCACCACTGGTAAACAATGCCCGATGGCTGGGTAGGGGGCCCCCCCGGGTCAACGATGCATACGGTCCCGGGGCGAATATATTCGCGAGTCAACCCATGAAAAGCGAGTCCATGTTTATGAAAAAAATCCCATATTGGGGAAATTTACGATTGCCGAGAACTACGAAAAACGAGGGACCCTGTACCTCCAACTCCCCATTACAATCCCCTACTCTGTTTTTAACTGACAAATCCATACTTTCCCCAGGCTTTTTAACTTGTTTTTAACTCCAAATTTTTTCTTATTTTCATTAAAAAATTTCTTGACATCCTCTCCCCCATACTGCTTCCTTTTTACTCGTACCACTTCTTTACCTTTCTTTTTACTCTCCCCTTACTCTGCTCTTCTTATAACACTTCTGCTTTTTTAAAAACCCCTCAAAGCTACCCCTTTCTCTTTATCAAACCCCTTTTCTCATCATTCCCCCCAATCACTCCCCTTTCCTCCCCGCCCCACCCTCCTTAACCCCAAATTCTGCCCCACATTCTAATACTGCATTTTTAAAACATTCCAACCCCCTTCAACCCCCCCCTATCATCTTTGCACTAGCCCACCTTTCTGCCAATAGTCGCTTATATCTCACCCGAACTTCCTCCTCCCTTAGTTTATACACTTTCACCTCCCTCATACTTGTTGTTGCCACCTTCCTCTTTTCCCATCTACCTCTTACTCTAACTGTAGCTACAACTAAATAATGATCCGATATATCAGTTGCCCCTCTATAAACATGTACATCCTGGAGCCTACCCATCAACCTTTTATCCACCAATACATAATCTAGTAAACTACTTTCATTATGTGCTACATCATACCTTGTATATTTATTTATCCTCTTTTTCATAAAATATGTATTACTTATTACCAAATCTCTCTCTACACATAGCTCAATTAAAGGCTCCCCATTTACATTTACCCCTGGCACCCCAAATTTACCTACTACTCCCTCCATAACATTTTTACCCACTTTAGCAATGAAATCCCCAACCACCATTACTCTCACACTTGATTCAAAACTCCCCATGCATTCACTCAACATTTCCCAAAATCTCTCTCTCTCCTCTACACTTCTCTCTTCTCCAGGTGCATACACACTATTTAACCCACTTTTCACATCCAATCTTTATTTTACTCCACATAATCCTTGAATTAATACATTTATAGTCCCTCTTTTCCTGTCATAGCTTATCCTTCAACATTATTGCTACTCCTTTAGCTCTAACTCTATTTGAAACCCCTGACCTAATCCCATTTATTCCTCTCCACTGAAACTCTCCCACCCCCTTCAGCTTTGTTTCACTTAAAGCCAGGACATCCAGCTTCTCATTCATAACATCCACAATCATCTCTTTCTTATCATCTGCACAACATCCACGCACATTCAGACTTCCCACTTTGACAATTTTCTTCTTATTCTTTTTAGTAATCTTTACAGGAAAAGGGGTTACTAGCCCATTGTTCCCGGCATTTTAGTTGACTTTTACAACACGCATGGCTTACGGAGGAAAGATTCTTATTCCACTTCCCCATGGATATAAAAGGAAAAGTAATAAGACCAAGAACTATTAAGATAAAATCAAAGAAAACTCAGATGAGTGTGTATAAATAAATGTGTACATGTATGTGTAGTGTGACCTAAGTGTAAGTAGGAGTAGCAAGACATACCTGTAATCTTGCATATTTATGAGACAGACAAAAGACATCACCAATCCTACCATCATGTAAAACAATCACAGGCTTTCGTTTTACTCACTTGGCAGGACGGTAGTACCTCCCTGGGTGGTTGCTGTCTACCAACCTACTACCTTATTATTTATATACGTTATTTCAGGCAAAAATTTGATGACAATAGTATTGTAATAATGTTGGTAGAATTACCGACAGTGTGTAAAGTTAAAGGACACAAGTACAACTAATGTTCCTAAGAGCTTACCAAATCTGTAGTCCTGAGTTTCTTGACAAAGAATGTACTTACATACACCAAACCTTTACTGATCTACATTTTCCTTCCTTTTTCATCAAAGACTGCAAGAAAGAGCTCTTCAGATCATAAATTCTCTGTGCACCAACACCACTCCTAACAAAGTTATCATCCTTCCCAACAGCCAGGTTGCACTGAACATTTCCAGGGTACTCGCACAAACTAACACTAAAGTCGCCATCGCCTCCAGCACTTCCATAAGGGATCTAACCAGGAGAGAATCGAACCACCATGAACCAGTCAATGCAGGAGTTTACACTATACCATGTGGAGGCTGTGACAAGATATATGTAAGGGAAACAGCTAGGAACCTCAAAACACGCCTCTGTGAACACAACGCATGTAGGAATGATAACTTGAACAGTGCCTATGTACAACACCAGAATTCCACCAATCATCTCATAAAATTCAACGACGCCCGACTAGTAATCAGAGAGCCAAATTTCCGCAGATGTAAATACCTTGAATCATTATTAATCACTGTTTCTAACACAATCAAGCAAAATAAAGGCAGCATCATCTCTGAAGTATTATCAAAAATCCTCCTCAAAACAGTAAACCCTGCCATCACACAGTCTCTGTTACATAAGAACACAACAGAGAAGGAACACTGAAACAGACCTTCTCAGATCCAACCACCAACAGAAATATTTGTCTAACCTATTTTTATGCTACCCATGTAATAGTTTTTTGACCTTTTACTCATGTGAAAGTTGATTGTTCTACCATATTGTATTACTACTACTATTACAACTTATATTACTACTACTACTACCACCACTAGGATTACACCTCACTAAGCCTATATATATACTGAATAACTGAACCTTATAAATTGTATATCTTAAATGTTTCTCACAATTATATCACATAAATGTTAAACCTAAGACCCAATCTAACTTTGTTATTTTTTAAATACACTACCTAACAGAATACTCCATTCGACTGAATGTACAGCAATGCATGCAACCATATGACCTGTCTTTGTAATACTCATTTGTGCTTTATTGTTATCTGTTTACAATAATGTTTTATCACTGATTACATCATTGCTTAGTTAATCTTAAGTTAATTTTAAGCCCGCCCGTAATGCTATGCATACAAGTGGCTTTGGCATGCTGCTCTTACCTGTATTTTTTTGTACCTCTGTATGTATGCTCAAATTACTAAATAAATAAATAAATATACCCTCTGTGTCCATGTATTGTTTGTAACGGCTTGATAAAGCTCCTGGAGAGCGAAAGGTTGCCACAATAAAATGTCACATTAGTTGCACTTGTGTCCTTTTACTTTACACAATAGTATTGATAGCATATAGTACTAATAATAAAGGTAATAATTGTGTATTGTATGAAGCAAAACTACTTAAGATTTAACTTGGTATCATACTATGTGTATAGGGTTGATAATATAAAATTTGTAGTAAAAACATACTTCAGTAGTTGATTGGGTATCTACATTAGGAAAAGCAGATTAATAAAACTAGAAGAAAAAAAATATTTGTGGAAGAGTGTTACATTAAAGATACAGTGGAACCTCAAATATCGAACTTTCTTCGTTCCAGACGGCTGTTCGAGTGCCGTTACCGAACTAATTTATTCCCATCAGGAATAATGTAAATTAGATTAATTTATTTCAGACCTTCAAAAATACACTTATAAAAGCACTTACAAAAATACACTTACATAATTGGTTGAGTATTTCAGTTAAATTTTCATTTAGTATTCATTTTTACAGTTTCCCTTTGCTGTATAATTTTATACATTGTTTAATGTAGTAGTACATTTTTAATAATATAATATCTTTATTTACTACACACACACAAACACATGTACATGGTATACAGGCCTAGCTGACATCAGTGACATACTACTAGATAGAAAGCCACTTGTTATGCTGAGCATTTCAGGCAAATTAGGCTAGTTTTGTCCCAGGATGCAACCCACACTAGTTGATCAACACCCAGGTACCCATTTTAAACTGATGGGTGAACAGGGACAGCAGGTGTCTTATGGAAACACATCCCTAATGTTTTCCAGCCATACTGGAGGAGATTTGAACTCTGGACAGTAGTGTGTGAGCCGAGTGCTTTTTAGTTGTTGTCAATTTTGGTTGTTGAATCGACATCTGGAACGAATTAAATTCGACAACCAAGGTTCCATTGTAATAATAATACCTTTGATATGCCTTTGAGAGGCTTCAAGAGTTTTCCTGCTCTTTCAGCCCAGAGGTTTGTCTGGTGCTTGCCTGGTCAACCAGGGTGTTAGTGGCCTGCTAGCCCACATATCCATCATTGGTGTAGCATATTGCCTCTGTATTTGAAAAATTCTCCATGAATATATATGTAAACAAGGTTTACCCAGATTGATAAAGGCTTAATTGTACAATAGTACCCAAAATTAACATGTATTTTGTTGCACAGGTGTTCCTGATGGGAGAAGAGGTAGCTCAGTATGATGGTGCTTATAAGATATCACGTGGCTTGTGGAAGAAGTATGGTGACAAGCGAGTGATAGACACTCCAATCACTGAGAGTGGTTTTGCTGGTATTGCTGTGGGAGCTGCTATGGTATGTAAGGACTACCTCCCTCTCTTGTACTAATCAAATAGGCCATATATTTTTTATAAGGTTTGCTTTATTTGAATATTATTTAGATGTACAAATTAGTTTTTCATAGTAAGCTGACTCCCCAAAATACTCTGCATAACCAGGGGCTTTCTATTTAGTATATCATTAATGTTACCTTTTCTGATACATGTGTAAACCATATTTTCTAGAGATAAACTATCATTTATAGTGTGTGAGAATGTGTTAACACAGCACTTGTTCAATAAATGGGCCATCAAGAGCAGCTGGACTACTGTTCATAATTTGTATTAAATCCTCATAATTTATTTTGTTTAATTGTTGTAGGGTGGTTTGCGTCCAGTGTGTGAGTTCATGACCTTCAATTTCTCAATGCAAGCTATTGATCATGTTGTCAACTCTGCCTCCAAGACCTTCTACATGTCTGCTGGCCTGGTATAGTAACTAATTTATAAATGTAACTTTTTTCCTCTCTTATTTTCTTTCTTCTCTCTCCTTATCTCTTGCTTTTCTTTTTCTTTTCTTCCTCTTCTCTCTTTTCCATTTTCTTTTTCTCCTCTATTTTCTGTTTTTCTTTCTTTTATCCTCTTCTCTCTCTCCTTTTCTGTCTCTTCCTTTTTTTCTCATCTCTTCTGTTTTTCATTTTCTCTCTTCATTTCTCTTTTTAACAGGCATTTTTGCAGGCTGAGGCTAAAGGTGCATAACCTTCAGTTACAAGCAAAAAAAAAAAAAAAAGCTGTTACCTATCTCAGCTCATACAAAAAGCCTTCCTACGTTGAAGTGTATATTGTTGCTCAATTATTGCACTAATTCCCCAGTACAATCCTTAACTTGTTAAGTTCATCTTCCTCATCCTTTTATTTTTCATATATATTTTTTTAATTGCTGTTTCTTGCCCGAATTTAGTTTACTACTAGTACACTACCATGTAGTGTATGTTGTTGCACAATTTTACACAAATTCCTCAGTACATTCTCCCCTAAATTGTTGAAACCAACTACCCCATTCTTCTAGTATCATATATTTTTTTACATAAAATTAAATATTTTTTTATATTAATTTTCTAACACTATTTGTAACCACCATTTACAATAGAATTGATAACCAGTGCAGTATTATATTGTCTAAATTGTGCCATAATGAGAGTTAAGATTATCCCTGTGTGGAGATTATCTTTCCTGCAGCCAGCTTTAGACCAGAGATTTAATTTGGTCATTTTTACTTTATTTCTTCCTCGTTTGATTTTTCCAACATGTTCCTGACTTGACTTTTTTCTTTCTCTTATTTTCTGTCTTATTTTTTTTCTTGTTTTCTTTCTTCTTTCCTGTCTTCTCTCTCTCCCTTTCTATCTTCTCTCTCCTTTTCTTTCATCACAGTCACTCTTCATAACTAACACAAATTGGACATGCTTTGTCTTTAGATAATGCTTCAGTCTGTGCTTAACCATTTATGAAGTCATGTGTGATAAATGTCCAGGAAGGATCAAACATTGTCTTGTATAGTTATATTAATTTTTTTATTTTTCACGGTGACTCATTTCTGTTGTGTAACAGTTAGAAAAGCCCATATATACGTGGACACTTTGTAATACAGACTAGAGTACATATTACTGACACTCCTAGGAATTAGCAGCAGGTATTATTTTTTTTTTTTTAAGGCAATCCAACACATCTTGCAGAACAGCTGTGGAAGCTTCCAAATGAAACTTAACTTTATTCCAGATTCATGTACCAATTGTGTTCCGTGGACCAAATGGAGCAGCTGCTGGTGTTGGAGCTCAGCACTCCCAGTGCTTTGCATCTTGGTATTCTCAGTGCCCGGGGCTAAAGGCAAGTTGTGTTAAGGATTCTTGTTCGCAGTTATCTTTTATAACTAATCAGTCTTTCCAATTAGTTCTTTCTAAGTATCTTTTCAAAGAGGAAATCTTGTGCAATATGTAAATGAACTCAACTGGGTTCAGTCAAAGAAAGTTCAGTCTTAAACTGGAAAAGGGAAGAGTTATAATTGTGACCTCAGTGTTGCTGATTGTTTTAACCCCTAAATGGTCCAAATGTATATATACATTCTTACAGTTAGTTCCCCAAACGTGGATCAGCATTTTATTTTTCAGTCCTTCAAAATTGGCATGATAGGCCTGAGTCGCCTAGACACAAGAGAATGGGTCTGCGCACTCAGTGTGTGTAGTATGAAAAAAATTGGGGATGCCTTGGTACCACATGGTAGTTCGTTATATACAGGTCCATCTTGGGTCAACATCATGGCAAACCTTCATGATTCACTCATGCCTCGTCATGCTAACACTTATTTGAGGAAAGTGATATAGAATGTGAGTTTAGTGGATTTGACACTGGTGTGACTACTAATAATCAAGGAATTGGTGAAAATATCGACGATAACCCAAATGAACCTCAGCTCATCAACTCTGGGGTGGCCAGTGTGGCCACACCAGACCCTGGGCCAAGTATTTCTGGGGTGGCCAGTGTGGCTCACACAAGCTTTTAAATCTCTGCACAAAATTCAATTTAAACCAGCAAATAATAGAGCCTACTAGACTGGAGAATACACTAGACCTCATCTTCACTAACAATGATGATCTGATAAGAAATGTCACCATATCAAAAACAATATACTCAGATCACAACATAATTGAGGTTCAGACATGTATGCGTGGAGCCCCAGACCGACATAATGAGACTAGTCACGAGGGAGCATTCACCAAATTCAACTTCAATAACAAAAACATAAAGTGGGACCAAGTAAACCAAGTCCTAACCGATATAAGCTGGGAAGATATACTAAGCAACACAGACCCCAACTTATGCCTAGAACAGATTAACTTGGTGGCACTCGATGTATGCACAAGGCTTATTCCTCTAAGAAAAAGGAGGAGTAGATGTAAAATAGAAAGAGACAGGCGCTCTCTTTACAGGCGACGGAAAAGAATAACAGAGTGGCTAAAAGAGGTCAATATATCTGAAATGCGTAGGGAGACACTGGTCAGAGAAATAGCAAGCATCGAACTTAAGCTAAAGGAATCTTATAGGAGTCAGGAATCATGGGAAGAACTAAAAGCCATAAATGAAATCGAAAGAAACCCAAAGTATTTCTTCTCCTATGCCAAATCAAAGTCGAGAACAACGTCCAGTATTGGGCCCCTACTTAAACAAGATGGGTCCTACACAGATGACAGCAAGGAAATGAGTGAGCTACTCAAGTCCCAATATGACTCAGTTTTTAGCAAGCCGCTAACCAGACTGAGAGTCGAAGATCAAAATGAATTTTTTATGAGAGAGCCACAGAATTTGGTTAACACAAGACTATCCGATGTTATCCTGACGCCAAATGACTTCGAACAGGCAATAAATGACATGCCCATGCACTCTGCCCCAGGGCCAGACTCATGGAACTCCGGTTTCATCAAGAACTGCAAGAAGCCCCTATCACGAGCCTTTTCCATTCTATGGAGAGGGAGCATGGACACGGGGGTCGTCCCACAGTTACTAAAAACAACAGACATAGCCCCACTCCACAAAGGGGGCAGTAAAGCAACAGCAAAAAACTACAGACCAATAGCACTAACATCCCATATCATAAAAATCTTTGAAAGGGTCCTAAGAAGCAAGATCACCACCCATCTAGAAACCCATCAGTTACACAACCCAGGGCAACATGGGTTTAGAACAGGTCGCTCCTGTCTGTCTGAACTATTGGATCACTACGACAAGGTCCTAAATTCACTAAAGACAAAAAGAATGCAGATGTAATATATACAGACTTTGCAAAAGCCTTTGACAAGTGTGACCATGGAGTAATAGCGCACAAAATGCGTGCTAAAGGAATAACAGGAAAAGTCGGTCGATGGATCTATAATTTCCTCACTAACAGAACACAGAGAGTAGTCATCAACAGAGTAAAGTCCGAGGCAGCTACGGTGAAAAGCTCTGTTCCACAAGGCACAGTACTAGCTCCCATCTTGTTCCTTATCCTCATATCTGACATAGACAAGGATGTCAGCCACAGCACTGTGTCTTCCTTTGCAGATGACACCTGAATCTGCATGACAGTGTCTTCCATTGCAGACATTGCAAAGCTCCAGGCGGACATCAACCAAATCTTTCAGTGGGCTGCAGAAAACAATATGAAGTTCAACGATGAGAAATTTCAATTACTCAGATATGGTAAACACGAGGAAATTAAATCTTCATCAGAGTTCAAAACACATTCTGGCCACAAAATAGAGCGAAACACCAACGTCAAAGACCTGGGAGTGATCATGTCGGAGGATCTCAACTTTAAGGACCATAACATTGTATCAATCGCATCTGCTAGAAAAATGACAGGATGGATAATGAGAACCTTCAAAACTAGGGAGGCCAAGCCCATGATGACACTCTTCAGGTCACTTGTTCTATCTAGGCTGGAATATTGCTGCACACTAACAGCACCTTTCAAGGCAGGTGAAATTGCTGACCTAGAAAATGTACAGAGAACCTTCACGGCGCGCATAATGGAGATAAAACACCTCAATTACTGGGAGCACTTGAGGTTCCTAAAACTGTATTCCCTGGAACGCAGGCGGGAGAGATACACGATTATATACACCTGGAAAATCCTAGAGGGACTAGTACCGAACTTGCACACGAAAATCTCTCACTATGAAAGCAAAAGACTTGGCAGACGATGCAACGTCCCCCCAATGAAAAGCAGGGGTGTCACTAGCACGTTAAGAGACCATACAATAAGTGTCAGGGGCCCGAGACTGTTCAACTACCTCCCAGCATACATAAGGGGGATTACCAACAGACCCCTGGCAATCTTCAAGCTGGCACTGGACAAGCACCTAAAGTCGGTTCCTGACCAGCCGGGCTGTGGCTCGTACGTTGGTTTGCGTGCAGCCAGCAGCAACAGCCTGGTTGATCAGGCTCTGATCCACCAGGAGGCCTGGTCGCGGGGGCGTTGACCCCCGGAACTCTATCCAGGTAAACTCCAGGTAATCCAGGATGATGGAACCGTACCTTGGCAAGGGTCATACATTGTACACAGACAACTGGTATACAAGCCCTATGCTCGCTGATTTCCTAAGTGTGAACAATACTGATATATGTGGAACAGTGAGAAGGAATAGAAAACATATGCCAAGGTTCAGTGGAGGCACTGTTGAAAGTGCAGTGCAAGCGTTTCGTGCCAATGACATCATGGCACCAACATGGCATGACGAGCAGGACATGACATTTCTGTCGACCATCCACAGAAACGAGATGGTACAAACAAAGTGAACCGGGACACCAATGAACATATTGTCAAGCCAGCTGTTGTCGTCGACTATACGAACAATGTGCGACTAGTTGACAAGTGTGACATGATGATAAGGTTTTTTGACTGTGTGCGTAGGAGTCGCAATTGGTATATAAGTGTTTTTCCACCTTGTAGACATTGCAGTGCTCAATGCATTCAGAATGTATGAAATAAAGGCTGGAAAATGACAACATTTTGCAAATTTCTTCCTGAATGTTGTAAAATAGATAGCAAAAAGTATGGTACCACACCTGTACCTGTCCCTCAACAGCGACAAGTCCTTCAACCACACCCACAACCACAGCCAGTGGGGGAAGTGCCAGACTGAATCATCCCTAACTGTCACTACATGGTACCAATACCACCTACCCCAAAGAAGAAGTATTCCCAGAAAAAGTGTGTTGTGTGCGCTACCACCACAAAATGACCCCAACAGCGAAAGGACACATGATTCGTATGTCACTAGTGTGGGGTGGCACTCTGTATGAATCCATGCTTCATGGAGTATCATACAATCGTGGAATTCTAAAAACATAAGTGGAACACGTAAGTAGTAGGTTGGTAGACAGCAACCACCCAGGGAGGTACTACCGTCCTGCCAAGCGAGTGTAAAACGAAAGCCTGTACAATGGACTCTCGGTTTTTGTGTTTAACCTGTTCCAGAGCCATCAGCCAAAACTGAAATTGGCCAAAACTGAAACCATTTTTCCCTTAAGAAATAATGTAAATGGAATTAATCCGTTCCAGACACCCAGAAGTATCGACAAAAATTTTTTTTTTCTTACCTTAAAGATAGTTACATGCACAAAAGAATGAACATTACACATGACACTTACCTTTATTGAAGGCTGTTGTTGCTGGAAGGAAGACAGGGAGGAGGGGAGAGGGAAGAGAGGTTAGTCTTTGGAAGGGGAATCCCCATCCATAAGGACTCGGGTACCAAGTCCTTATCAGGGGTCACTTCCCTCCTTTGTTTTTTAATGCCACTAGGCCCAGCTTGAGAGTCAGTGAACCCCTGTTGCACAAAATATTTGTCCAGAGTGCTCTGTTTCTGGTGTCTCTTAAGATTTGCCTAAAAGAGGACATGACAGTCATTGTAAAAGTCACCAGCACGGATTGCAACAGCTTTCTCAGGGTGATGTTCCTCCACAAATGAATGCACTTTAGTCCACATTGCACAAATCTCCTTAATCTTTGAAGACAGCACCTTCTTCCATCTCTTCCTCCTCCTCCTCTGAAGCAGTTTCCTCAGCTGTGGTCTGTTGATGTTGCAGTTGAAGCTTTTACAGCTCATCAGTGGTTAGCTCTTCATTGTGGTCCTCCACCATCTCTTCCACATCATTGCCACTCACATCCAACCCCATGGAATTCCCCAGTGCCACAATTGATTGCACAACAGGTGTAGGGTTGACAGGGTCAGCTTCAAACCCTTCAAAATTCTTCTTTTGGACACAATCTGGCCACAATTTTCCCCAAGCAGAGTTCATTGTCCTGGAAGTCACTCCCTGCCAAGCCTTATCTATAAGACCTATGC